ATTAAACAAAACGATAAATTATCTCGACGAATGACACCATGTTCTAGTACGGAAGCTAGCTTTACATTTTTGTTGGTGGTTTCATGGGTTTCATATCAATTTTTTGTAATTGTAGTTTACACGTACATATACCTCTCAACACTTGTTTGCTTTATTAAAAAAGTGTGTTGTTGTGATTTACGTCGAAATAAGTCAAAAACAACTTGAAACCCCATATAAAATCAAAAAGGAGAAACGGAAAAAAATTGAGCCTGTAAATGAACACAACTCAGAAACAAAAATAGCTATCTAATAATAAAAAAATAAAATTTGATTCTTGTGCAGCTTCATCTATATCATTAACTGTTTTTGGTTTTTTAATGGTTTTTCTTGATGATGAAAATTCCGATATCTCAAATTTGAAGTAGTTTAGTTTCTCGCAATTTATTATTCTTGAGTATACTAGTGTAAATGTTTTTGCATTGTAAATAATAACATAATATACAGGCTTTGAATATTTAATTAGTTTACAGTAACTCTACATTGAATAATTTTCATAATTTAATGCCAAAATGCTGACAAATATTAAAAATTTAATTAGTAAAATTGTATGCTTAAAAACAGAAGGTACACTGTTTAGTTTTGAGAAGGGATTTTGAATATTCTAATACAGATACAGGGTGTTCCTTTTTAAATTTTGTTAATTTGCATTTATATTTCCTTAGGATATTGGCTAAAAATGAAGAAAAATAATAAAATAGCCCACAGATCATTGTAGTAAAAAGAACGATGTGTCAAAAATTAAAATTAAAATACAACTAACTGTTGCATGGTAGTTTAATTGAAAATAATAGTTAAAGAGACGTAATTAGCGGACAAGAAAAGGTATTAAAATTATTTCGCTGTCTTTCCAGATAAAATAATTTTTTTCGTACTCTTGTGTTTAAAAAACGACAAAATTTGCACTTGCGTCATTATTCCCATAAAGAAACGATATCGCAGGTATTGCCGAAGACTGGAAAATAGTTTATCTTCTCACGAACGGAGCACTCGTTAGAAAACTTTCATTTTTTACTAGAAAATAGTTCCCTGGCAATATCCATTATCTGATTCAAGTTTCAATTTAAAAATATTGGAAATCGAGTGAGCAAACGTAATATATTAGAAACAACTTTCCTATATCCACATATTCGGATATCCAAAGTTTATATATAGTTATCAATAAAAAATTAATTGCCTTTTAAGTCATAACTCTCATATTTCCAATCACGTCAATAGTGTAATAAAATCTTCGATTCAACCCTGATCTCTCCTAAATAAATACTTTTCGCTTCCCACAATCGGTCCTTAATTGAAAATTCTGATAAGATATATGTTGGCTTGTAAACCGATAGCCTTACACTTAATTTCCCAAGAGTTCATGACATTTCGCTACACTTTCCATCCTTAGTGGCATCTATTACAGCCGGAATAACCGTCTAGGGAGAAGCAATACAAGTTCGAATTATTTTAGTCGATACTTGAAAATGATGTAATTAAAATTATTATTTAATAATGTTTTTGGTAGGTTTTTGGGTTTTAGGTGTGAACTGTATATATAGATGTTAGATTTTATTAATTGTTAAGTTAAATAATTATTTAGTTACCAAGTAATTACAGATAGAACACAATGCCAACAGGGTTTTTAACCTCAAATTTGCTATTGTTTTGATTTTAAACACGTATCACAGCCAGGTAAAATAGACCTACCGCTCAACAGGAGCATTCCGCGTATGGCGGAGCCCGGAAGGACATCCACAGATGACCTTAACGACAATGATCCTAAGCCTTCAGAGTCAAGACAGAAGGATAGTATCATGAAAGACAATCCTAGGTTAAAAGTTGACAATAAAACCTCCTCACGAAGTCCTAACAGCCCTATTACCATCAAAATTAAGCGAAGTATTCACCATCCTTACAATCCACCACATGTAAGTACCCCTAGACCAAAAATCTCTAGAGATCCAAGGGAAGAACACAAAGACAAGGAAAACAGACATACAGAAAGAAACCTTGCCAAAATTGCAACCAAAATACAAGATGATAAGCATTCTAAAGGGTCTAGTCGGACTACATCGTTATTAGACATACTAAATTTCACAGATTTCGACAATCTAGCCAGAAATGCGTTCTTTATACCTTCGTATCCCACTGGAAATACCTCAGTCGACGCTCTAATCATGAAAATAGAAATTCCGGGAGTTCGATGGCTACATTTGCGAGTTCGGCGGTAATTCAATCCAGTGTGACGGTAACAAACGGGATACAAACCAAATTTTCGCAATTTACGCAACTACCCCTCCTACCAAAAAGGAAGTAGATGCCACCCACCAACGTTGGACAATCAAACCAAGAAAATAATGAGATAACGCAAAGAGATAACGCAGACAAAATGGCTTCCAGAAGCCAAAAAGAACAACGAAGTTTAGAACAAACTATTAGAGCAAAAAGTCGCATCCACGACAGAAACTAAAAATAAATTCGTCCCTCTCAGTGACACAGACTCTGATTCTGAACTGGAAAAAGATATTCCTAAAACAATTAAAGGAAAAGCCACCCCAACTTACGAATAAAAGGTCAGTCTACCACGCAAAACATACCTAAAAGCCATAAAACAAAAAAGAGACAACATTCCACCCATTGTAGTTGATGGGCGTACCGATAACTATGCAAGTCTCAATCAGGATCTCAAGGACATTATAAAAAGAAAATACTCCATAAAGCATGCAAATGCAACGATTATAAAAGCCTATTGCACAGCAGTAGAGGCAGAAATATCGCACAACATACCTATACCAACAAAGAGAACAAGACGCACGCGTTTGTCTTAAGAAGCCTAGCTAATGGTACGAGTATAGCCCATATTAAGGAGGACTTACTAGCCAGTTATAAAATGCAAACCAAAGAAATTTTCAAGATGTCAACTAAACACCGACCCCTATTCCTAGTGGTCACAGATCCAGCAATTACACTCGACTACCTTAATAAAAACGTTGTCACCGTTGCCAGGCTTGGAGACTATTTGAACAGATGGAACCACTACCAGTGTCACACTCTTTTTTAACCTCTCCTAAAGAGATTGGTGAGATAATTAAGAGTCTTAAAAATAGGAGAGCTCCGGGCCCAGACGATATTAGTAATAAACTGCTAAAAAACCTCAGCAAAAAAGCTGTCGTGCAGATCTGCCATTTAATAAATGCCATTTTCAGACTACAACACTATCCCAGTAGTCTAAAAGTGGCAAATATCATACCAATTTTGAAACCGGGTAAACCGGCTCACAATATAGAAAGCCACCGACTAATATCCCTGCAATACAATAGCAAAAATTGTGGACACAATAATTCTGAAAATATTAAAGGTGGATTTATAAACTACGTTCAGTTCACGCTCAGTTTGAGTTCAGCATAAATATCAATACAGTAAATATGTTTTGGATAATAAATTATAACGGATTCATAATTATTTTATAACCAACATCATCTACAAATATAATTAAAACAAAATATAATTTTATTTTGTGGAATTTGTGGTTATGTCTTGCCAACTCGAACTGAACGCGAACTGAACGTAGTTTGTAAATCCACCCTTAAAACCATTGAACAACAGCTGCAGATTATCCCACGGGAACAATACGGCTTCAGAGAGGGACGCAGCACCGTGGCCCAGGTCCTGAGAATAGCGCATCACGCGAAAGAAGCGTATAATCAGGGCTTGCAAACGGTGCTAGTGGCACTAGACAGCGAGAAAGCCTTTGACACCGTATGATCCCGTGGGTTATTCTACAAAATGCTTGTGAATGACTTTCCTGTGCACATTGTAAAAATAATTCAATCATACCTACAAGAATGACACTTTATTATTAAAATCAACTCAACAATTACAGGATCTTTCATAGCGATGGCGGGAGTACGGCAAGGCTCAATACTGTCACCACACCTGTACACTATTATGACCTGTGATTTACCCATGGGTGATAATGGTGTGCAAACGGCACTGTACGCCGATGCTATCTGTGTTTTTAATAGCCACAATTCCGCAGAAACTGCGAAAAGAAAGCTGGGCTCCCATATCAACGGACCCTTGATGAACTATCTCGCTGAAAACAAGATGAATATCCTTACTTTCCACCAAAACAAGGACAGAGGGTATTGTCAAACCCCGCTCTCGATTGTTGCTTCTTCGGGGGGTTCACCGTACACTATTCCAGTGAATTATGACAGAATACATAGACTTTTACACGACCACGAACACACTATGATAACCCTGTTTTTTCCTAGCCTTTTCAGGGGACACAACCATAATTAAAGCAAGACAGACCTATTTAATTATGCCTTTAAGGCAAGGAGTGAGGGCTGCTATATTTAGCGTAATCATAAGAGTAAACAACATGGCATATTAAAGGTGAAGATACTCGTCTTGGCTCATGCAGACCCCTGTTATGAGCAATACATTAGACTTTGTATTCTATTCGTATGCTGCTTATAGCAAAGATTTTTAAAAGGTGAATAAATGTTTTTAAATAAAATACAAATCAAATCAAATATATTAGAGCACCATGAATTACATTGTTATGATTAGTAGGTACACGTTTTAATTTTTTTCTTTATTCTATGGGAGGGATCGTACCTAGGCATATATGCTTGTCTTGTGTAATCCCTTCCAAAATAAAAAAGAAAAAAAAAACAGTAAGAAACAGTAGAAACAATAGGTTTTTGAAAAATACAAAAATTTTAAAAAATTGAAGATAATTCACTAAGAGAATACTAAAGAGACATGTTTAAAATGTTCTCTTTCATTTACTCCAGACTTGGAGGTTTGAGATATATTTTTTGTCGTACTCATATGTTTTAAGTCGAGCGGTGTACTTTACCCACGGGAGGAAAAGTGGCACTTTCCTCCTAGTAATACAAATAGCTATTCTACTTGATACGTTTCGATTTTTTTATATTCAAAATGCATTTAAGAATGATATTACTTACTTGACGGTTTAAATCTAGTTTGTCCTTCTCCACACCTTTCTCTATTGTACAATAAATATTTACAGGTTTTCCAGGGTCCGAAATACCCTTCTCCGTCTCCATATACACCTGAAACGAAAGTTTTTAAATATTAGTCAAAGCATATTTTTTATTTGTAAGTTAATGCTAAAAATCTTTTATATCAAGTTAAAAACGAACAAAGGAAATAATCCACCTGTAGAAAGGTATTGTGCTAAAGCATATATGAAAAGTCTAATAAAACATAAAAAAAAACGTTATCAAAAACGTATTCTCCTTCAAACCGAATAGGTCCTAAGAGACCTTTATACGTGATTTTATTTTATCCTTTTATATTTTATGTCAGAAATTTGCATTAAATAAAAGGATCTACAGATTTAGAAGGATGGTTTTTATGATATAGAGATTTTTAGTAAAATAGTCCTTGCATAGAAGACTATAAAAGTAATGAAGAAAATCGTCAGATAAAAATTATATAAAAAAATCCCTTCAATTAATTAGAAAATTAGTTATTTGACTGTCAAAACGAGTACATATATGTACAACACAAATTCAAACGTTTTGGACTTATTATTGAGCTCCAGTAAAAAATATCCTAGTTTGAAAACTATCTAATTATTTGTTCATTTTTATCAAATGCCGCGATATAAGTTTTATCTAAATTTTTACTCATTCTAACAATTTATTCGTAATATATTATTCCCATTAAATATGTACAGTTGTTGCGTTTTACAGTCAACATACATCTACCTACTATGAGTCATGTTATTACTTGCATATTATCATGACCGACAGATAAGTATAAAATTATCATTTAAATTATTACAAAGTGCGTTTAGAAAACCAACATTGACGTTGTTATTTCCGAAGCAAGATTCTGCGTCCATTTTTCAACGGACCTTGAAAGCATTTTATTATAATTTGGATTAATTGTACATCATTACGAGGGTAAGTAATTAAACAAAACTGCGAGGGTAGGTAAGTGTTAAAAACGAGTGACAAGATAATTTTGATACATTACTATGAGTTTGAAAAAAAAATCTCTTCATATTTCGAAGTGTTCCCCGAGAAATATTTCTATATTATTCTTTAATTACTTTCTCCAAACCATCTAGGTACTTTTACTTATAAATACATACAGAAGTTACATTTTTTTGCTCGGACTTTTGCCATTCAGCCAATCACAAATAGATATTGAATAATGTTTAGTTTATAAATACAAATTTTACGTAGATATGACTTACATTATTTTATTTTCATGGCATTACTGCAAAAAATGAAAAATTGATTATCTACAGTCACAAAAGTGACTGTAGATAAGTCACCAATGCTGCTAACTGTTATCTTCAATGATTCAGATTCTATAGGATGATAAATGCGAGCTTTTTGATATTTGACTCTATTTGGTTATAGCCCTACTGGATACTATACAATTAAAGACGACCAGACTGTTCTGCTATTAACCCAGAACCCAGTTATTATTAAAGTGTAAATAATAACCCACTCTTGAATATTTCGAGAATCCTCATTCATTATGAGGACAAGTCTATATCCCATAAAAGTCGTTTTTGAATAACAATTTCAAGGAGAAGAATACTAGGGTCACTAATGTTCTATGTCCAATGTTATAAACATAATTTTCGCTAATTTGTTGATAAGCTATTTGATGATGAGCTACAAATGGGTTATTTTCAGCAAGATAGAGTAAAAGCTCATTCAGCTAGAGCTACTATTGACTTTTTGATGACCGAATTATTAATGCATGATTATGGTCTCACAGATCTCCAGATCTTAAACTGACTACTTTCTATTTGGACATACAATATTATTATTCAAAAATTGTTTATATGGTGTGTTTTTTTCTAAATAGACAACAAATGAGGATGACTATCGATAATTGCTTTCCAATAGTTTAGTGATAATACATATATTTAATAACAGATGTCATATTTTTTAGGTCGAAAAGACGAAAAATGTTTTAACACGATCACTGTCCTAATGGTATTTTTCCGCAAACCGTTACACGTCCCCACCTAAATTTGTATGCCCTATATGTGATTTACAGGACTTTGTGATATTTTAGATGTACAATCTACGTCCTACGACCTATATGTGGGTCGTAAAATAAAACCTTGAATATTTGACAACGTTTCGCAATCAGCACGTGTTCTGTGTTTCAGCCCGCCAATATTGTTTCGTAGACTTTCTCGAGCCCGCAAACAGGTGTGTTGTGTTACTCAGTTGAAAGTGTTTTCTCCTAAAAACACAGAATAAAACATAAACTAATCCAAAGAGAACTAAAAGATATCACCGAAAATCTATCCTAAATAAGTTCTGCCAATGATTTTAATTCAGACGACAGTGTGGTAAACCCGCATTACGGAAATGAAGATGGCGATTCAAGTTCTAATGAAGAAACAGATGATAGTGACATTCAAGATAAAAATGAACAAGAAACTAGTGAAGTTTCAAAAGATAAAATGAATGAGAGTGATCCCGATTTCTGGTATAGTGCAGTAGGTATAATAAACATTTAAATTACTGACTATATGGAACCCATAGATATTTTTAGTTTACTGACGATATTATTGAGCTGATGGTCGAACAAACAAATAATTATGTTTTAGAACTTCAACGCAAAAAACGTTTAGTACGCTTAGCAAGAATTTCTAGATGGAACGATACAGACAAAGAAGAAATGAAAACATTTATTGGTAAGTAATTACAACTTTAATTTTTATAATGTCTGAATATGGATGTGATTGTTTTTTTTTTTTAGGTATGCTTCTGCTTATGGGACTTATAAACTTCCCTACTATAAAATGTTACTGGAAAAACGACTTTTCCACCGACTTCCTATAAAGTATAACCGTTTGACATTGTTGCTGAAATTTTGGCATTTCGAAGACAAAACAATACCTTCAGAAGGCTGCTTGTCAAAAATTGTACACTTGTTGAATCTTGTTAGAAATAACCTAAAAAATGCGCATTCTCTTGGTGTTACAGTTGTTTTGGACGAAACCATGGTTCCTTTCAGAGGTCGTCTGAAGTTTCGTCAGTATAATCCATCAAAAGCCCATAGATATGGTATCAAACTATACATGCTGTGCTCTCCACTTGGATACACTTAGAATCTAAAAATTTACAGTGGACAAAGTGAAAGACGCTAAGGACTAGATCTTCCTGATAGTACAGTTGTTGAACTAGTTGATCCCTTGTTAAATGCTGGAAGATTGGTTATAACTAACAATTACTATACAAGCATTGAACTTGCCAAATACCTCTACGAGAGGAAACCAATTTTGTTAGGAACCGTGAGAAAAAATAGAATAGGCCTGCCCAAAAATGTAGTCAATTGCAAACTAAAAAACGGACAGATAATTGCCAAACAATATAATTTTATAACATTCTTCAAGTGGCACGATCAACGTGATGTCCATATGCTTTACACGTGCCATGATCATCAAATAAAAGTTTATGGGAAAAAAATAAATGGAGGAGATAAAATCAAACCCTTATCTATAATAGAGTATAACAAGAGAAAGCAGGGGTTAGACATCTCTGACCAATTATCTAGTTATTACACTTGTCTTCGAAAGTCTTTGGTTTAGCTCAAAAAATTGGCCATTGAAATAATTTGTAGGACACTAATTGTCAATACTTTTATTTTGCATAATTCGGTGCGTCCAGTAAGATCAGTCATCAATCATAAAAATTAGAGAATCTCTTATTCGCAGCCTTCTCAAAACAAATGAAAATATGAAAAGGCAAGAAAAGCATGAGGAAAAAAGCAAGAGGATGGAGCCCATAAGCTAAAAGAGCTACCTAGAGGTAGCGATGACAAAATATACAGAAAACGCTATCATGGGTGTTATACTAAGTTGAAAAATACTCTTACATCAAAAGAAGCATGTAAAAAAAACTAAGAGTCTAAATTTTTTGCCATTTGTGCAACCAAGCATTTTGTATTTCTTGCTACGAAAAAAATTATTGAATTTCCCTCTGTTTCCTTTGTATACACTTTTAATAAGAATATTTTCAATATTTTGTAACCCCATTTTTGATATGCCGTATCTGGGTTATTTTTTAATTGAATAAAATATTTCTTTTACCAAAATCTAGTTTTTTCCCCTTAGAGTCCTCTTAAAGGAAGCAATAATTTACTGACACGTCCTTCTGAATATTAAGCTATAACAAAACATACATTTACGACCCAGATATGGTTCGCAGGACTTATAGGTAAATGCATTTACGACGCATATATGGGTCGTAGGATACTGAACGTGTTAAAGATTCAAAATGCTTTTCCAAACACATAACAAATGAAAATGACTATCAGTAATTATTGCTTTCTAATTAAAAATACCTAAATAGTAAGTGAGACTTTTTTAATAGTTTAAGGTTAACGCACTAGTACTTGACACCATGATAATAGTTAACATTTTCGATTTAAATCGTTCAAAATGGAGAATTAAAAAATCTTTTTAACATTTTTTGAACGCCAGGAACAAGTAGCGACATTTGTGGGGCGACTATCCAATTTTGGTATCATTGGCTCTAATTTTAGTGTCGCATGGTCGCGTCCAGTTCATTTGTCGTGAATTTACTTAATATAAGTGATAAGAAAGTAAGTTTATAAAAAAAAATTTGTTACTTAAACTTTGCATGCATTGTATCTGTACCATTTTTATGTGCACATATAGGAGAAATGAATGTTTTAAAAAAAAACGAAAGTTATCCTCTAAATGAGGAACACGCTTGGTGTCAAACACTAATACAAGAGGCCTAAGTTTTCTAGTAATTGACATTGATATCAACTACTAGTTTTAAATACAGACTCTTCATTTTAATACTGTTTTTACTTCAGTTTTCATTATTTAAAAAAAATCATATCCTACTTTAATAATATTGCTCTATGTTGACACCAAAGTCATTCATTAGAATTTTAGGATGTCATCTACTGAAACATGAAATTTTAGATTAAGTATGCCGCCTATAAAGGGACAAATGTTCAGGTAGAGTGAAGAAAATATGGAGAAGGCGATTGAAGAATTCAAACCAAACGATACGGATAAAAGTTTTATAAAATA